TGATTCTGTGCAGTCCATGTCATCCAGTTCTTTCAACAGCATTTCTTCTTTTTCAATCTTGAATATTTCATACTGAGATTTTGTATTTGTTGTTTCTCGATTAGGCAGTGCAGCCCTTGAGAGGAAATCGGCAATGTGTAGTTCTTTACCTCGCTTGTAGACTACATTTTTATTGTACTTTTGTAGTCTAAGGAGCATTCTTTGCAAGCGTTTAGGTGCTGATAGAAGGGGTTTCTTGAAGATTGCCTCTAGTGGTTTGTGATCCGAGTGCACTGTGATTTTCTCTCGTCCATAGATGTACTGGTCGAACCTTTCACAAGCAAATACAATGGCGAGGCATTCCTTTTCAATTTGTGCGTATCTTTGTTGTGTTTGTGTCATGGTCTTGGATGCAAATGAGACAGGTTGACCATTTTGTAAAAGTGTTGCTCCCAATCTACTTTCGCTGGCATCGCATTGTATTGTGACATCTGCTTCTATGTCGTAGTACTTTAGTACTGGGTAGTTTGTAACAAGCTCTTTCACTTTCTTGAACGCCTCCTCTTGTTTTGATTGCCATGCCCATTCATTGTTTACAAGACGTCTCAGGGGTTCACAGACTTCAGAAATCTTGGGTAGAAATTTTGACAAATAGTTGACAAACCCAAGGAATCGTTGCACAGATTGTACATCATGAGGTTGAGGCATGTCTTGAATTGCTTTGACTTTTTCTGGATCCGGCTTTCATCCTTCCTTTGTCAACAAGTGTCCTATATATGGCACTTCTTTGCAGCGTAGATTGAGCTTCTTTTTATTAAGCTTTAAGTTAACTTCTCGTGCACGATTGAGAAGGTTTCGCAAGTTTTCGTCGTGGTCTTTTAATGCCTCTTCTTCTGAGTCTCCACAGCCGAAAACAAGTATGTCATCCACTATGACATCTACTCCTTTAAGTCCATTGAGAGCATCATGCAGTCTTCGCTGATACTCTTCTGGCGCTGTAGATATTCCAAAGGGCATACGGATCCATCTGTATCTTCCGAATGGCGTCCAAAATGTCGTAAGAAAACTACTTTCCTTGTCTAGTTTTATTTGCCAAAATCCATCTTTAGCATCGAGTACTGAAAATACCTTAGCCTTGCTGAGGCGTGGTAGAATTTCTTCGATGGTCGGCACTGGATAATGTGAGCGCTTCAGTGCTTTATTTAGATCTTTGGGATCTATACATATTCTAAGCTTATTTGGTTTCTTCACCGCAACCATGCTGCTTATCCATTCTGTTGGCTGTGTCACTTTAGCGATGACACCCAATCTCTTCAATTCCTGTATCTTTTCCTTTAGTGCTCTTTTCAGTGGAGCAGCTACTCTTCGAGGCGAGTGTTGCAATGGAGTGATGGATTTATCAATTTCTAAGTGATACTCTCCTGGTAAACATCCTAGACCAGTGAAGACATCTTTATACTCGGTAAGTATTTGCTCTTTTGTCAGCTCTTTGTGTTTTGCTTTCCCATTTACTGAATGTACGTTTTCATTCAGCTGAATGATTTTCATCTTTTCACAAGCTTCTGCTGACAATAGAGGATATTGCTTGACATCTACGATTTGGAATTCGAGTTTGTACTGTTTTCCATTTAGCTCAACATTCACTACTGCCTGGCCAATGGGTTTCATTCGTGACCCATCATAGAGTGTCAGTTTTGAATTACTCTTTTGCATTGGTGGATCTCCATTTTGCGCAATAGTGCAAAAGTCCTTGTAGCTGATAAGGTTGCATGTTGAACCGGTGTCTATTTGGCATTTCATTTCAGTTACGTTTTTCTGTTCTGCAAGTTTCATTTTCATGTTGACAAACCATTGCTTTCCTGTGGACTGTACTGATCCAATGCTGTGTGTAACTTTAAAAGCTGAATCTTCAGAATAAGTGTCATCCTCAGAGTCGCTGTTGTCTTCGCCAACTAAATGCACTCTGCATCTTCCAGGTTTTCTTTCTGTTGTTTTGATATCTGTTTTCTTAGAATTGCTTTGTAGCGTTTGTTTGCAGACTTTCGCAAAATGGTTCATCTTGTCACACTTGCTGCATTTCTTTCCATATGCTGGACATGCTGTTTTGTCTCTAGCATGATTTCCTCCACAGTATTTGCATTTCGGAGCATTTGGTTTTTGATTGTCAAATTTTCTTGCTTTTTCCGGCTTCCTTGAACTGTAGTGAACGCTTTCTTTTGTCCCTTCAGATTCCATCTTCTTAAGTTGTTGTTGTGCAACTTCACCGGCTCTACACATGCTTATTGCTTTCTTGAGATCTAGCTTTGGTTCTCTAAGCATCCTTGCTCTTGTTGGGTTGTCATATATTCCCAGAACCGATCTGTCTCTTATCATATCATCTGTGAGGCTTCCAAACTCACAGGAGTCAGATAGTTGTCTTAGCTTTGTTACGTATTTGTCTAATGTTTTTCCTTGCTTTTGGTCAGTTGTGTTAAAGGTGTATCTCTCATAAATCACGTTTACTTGTGGTTCAAAATGTTTTCTCATAGCTTCAAGTATGGTTTTTGTTTTCTTGCGGTCTTGCTCAGACATGTCGAGATGTCTGTAAATTCTGTAGAAATTTTTGCCCATAATGCTCAGTAATGATGCAACTCTGATAGTGTCATCTTTCTCACAAAGTTGTGTAGCTATTTCATAGTTCTCCTATTGTGACTGGAAAAATTTCCAATTACTTTTGAGATCTCCCCTAACTTCCATTTTGTCTGGTACTTGGAAGTTTGATGCTGCCATGTTTTGATCAGGTGAATCCTATTTTCATCTCCTGCACGTGTGTGCCTACAATGTCTTATCTCTGCAGTTAGAGTCGTTTCTGTTATCTTCTTTGATAATCAGTATGCCAGTATCAGAATCTTTAATTACAAGTCTGATGAAATTCCCTAAAAGTCAGGGATATCAAAGTTTTCCTACCAGAGTTAAGAACATAAATCCTTCTCACTCAGTTCTTTGTTTGCAGTTCCCGCGTGATTGTTCTAGCATCACAAAACATCACTGCATGTACTCACATTTATCAAACAGTCATTTTGGCTTTCACAAATGCCTCGCTTGTCGCTTGTCCTCACTAAATGTCTGCGTAGGGTTTATGCTTATGAAATTAATCCTTTGCTATCTTGCAATGTTTGTTGTGAAGTCGCCACTTCTGACACCATGTTCTAAGACTAATTTATTAACAACTGAATCATGTGTGCATCACATTGGAGATGGTGTCAAGAGTCTTAAATATATCATAACACTAAACATCTTAGTGGGCAAAAGAAATTTTTTTTAATCTATACATCAACATATCTACACAATATTCTGTGCTCTAGTGCCTACTGGTACCAAGTTAGGAGTGAATAAAAAAAAGTTGCCTTAAGAAATTAATAAGTTTCTATGGTAATCACAATGTGTATTTCATATAAACTACATTAGACTATGGTCCATTCAATCTAATCAAACAACAATCTACCAAAGAAGTCTAAGTTGATTCAGAGGTCCAGAGGTAATGATCAAAGGGTGGACGGGCCCCAAGATGATCATCAGCATAGCCTGATCAATTTTTTAATGACTTTCAATACCGTCTCCCGAGAAAAGTATCAACAAAAAGCACATGTAAATCACATTACCTCTCCATGGCTCTACAGCTGTTTAATTAACCAGTGAAAATTGGACAAAGATAAGACATCACATAAAATACACAGACGAGGAAAAAAAATATAGTGTGTATAGTGTAAATATGTGTAAGGGTAGGAAAAAACATGATGTAATAACTCCCTTACAACTTAACAGCATGTTAGAAGGCAGTTCTGCAATCTTACGCATGTTGCATTCTCAATAAAAATACCGCAAAATCTTTGAGTATTAGCTGATTCTTATAAACCACTTTTTAACAGGAAATCCAAATTAATGCGATAATCTTGAGGCAGATGTTGAATGCTAATTTAGCTACGGTTCATATCTACTCTGTAGAACTGTAGTGTAAAATGAAATGCAAACATGCTTCAAGAAATTTGATAATAAGTATCAGTCCTAATCCCATGCGAACAAATACACATAATGAGCATTTTCAAAGAGATGTTATTTAAGAAGTTGAGTTTTGGGGGAAATATTGTGTTTACTAAAATAAAAGTAGATCCTCAATTCATTAAAATTTCCAATTATCTTGGTAATGATAGGACAGTGCCAAAGAGCATACAATATATTTTTCCTTTTATCAGTCTAGTGTAAATCAAGTTATAATAATAGATATATACAGAATTTCAAATTTTTTACCCCAAAGTCACAGTAACCCTATATCATCAGCTGATATGACTCGATGCACAGAAATGTCATGAAAGAATTGATTATGTATAAGAAGAAACTGATATAGATTATATTATACACTCAAAGATGATTTAAATCATTTTTATATGTATGATTATGATAAACAACAGATCCATGCTGTTTTTGTAAGGAAACTATGTGAAATAGCATACCACTACTCTTGGCTGCATAAAAAGGAGATGACAAAATGAAAAAAAAAATCAAGTGAATTTGGCTTATACAATCATACCATAAAGTGAATATGTACTTATTGGAACATAACATTTTTTTTCTTAAAAGAAAAAAATTTCTGAAAATTGTCATTCTATTTGATGTATTTGGTATTTTTGACATAATCTGCATTCTTTTGACTACTGCTATACTTAAAACTTTTTTTTTTTTTAAATTGAATACATTCAGGAATATTTGTTGAATCTTTATTACAATACTTATCACATGCACATTATGCATCAAAATAAATTCTAAAAATTGACTGTGAGTGTAAACATTCAGTTAATCATTTTCTTAAATGACTGGCACTAAAATTTAAGGTGATAAGAACTGAATTCTTATTAATAACAATGATATACATTCCCATCAGGATATTACTCAGGTACAGTACAAGTTAGTAAAGTTTTGTTAGTATTTTGTGTATATATAATTTCTAATGAATTAGACCACATGTTGCTGTATAGATATTTTACCTTTAACTATGACCTCCCCAACATGTTCGATGTTCCCTAAGTCAGAGGACGCCACGCACGTGTAGTTCTTGCTTTCTGTGACATTTTTAAGTTGAAGGACATTTTTTCCTATGACAGGTTTTCCGAGTTCTGTGGCACCATCTCGCCACATGACATGTGGCATAGGGGATCCGACAGCCACACAGGTCAGATTGACACTGCCATTGGGGTCCACCTCCACCCTCTTTGGAGGGAGGGTAAAATGAGGGGGAACTCTACGCACTGGAAAAAAATAGTCATAATTCATTATAGCTTTGCTGTCATTTAAATATACCATTTACAGGTGGGCTTTTTTATAGCTTTCTTGTCATAAATTCTTGCATACATTATGAAAACAGCAGAGTAAAGATGCTGCCATTAAAATGTATTGGCTTCATAAACTTAAAATACTTCAAGAGCAAAACTTAATGAACATTCAGTAATTGCACCTGAATCAATCTACAACTGTAGCAGTCTTCTAAAAATTCTGAGATAAATGTAAGTTAAGTTTTCAGATAAGACTTGTTGGCATCAAATAATATATGGGAGTGTGTTTTTTAAACCGAAATCCAAAAAAGATATCATAATTTGATGATGGTAGATTCAACGAAAAATATATTAAATTCAAATCAGCATGATCTATTACCCTGTTTAAGTAGGGCTGGTGATATGCAGGAATAAGACAGGGGTGTGTTCTAAGATTACCTGATATTAGCAGTGTCTTTGATTAAACCTAGCATATATTACATCACAAATAACCCCCGATATCTAGGATATCTAGCACACCGTCTATAGGATGCTGTTCATCTTTAGATCTGGTACCCTGTTAAGTGTTAACCCACTTATACTTGTAAAGTATGGGGAAGTGGACACAAGATCATATTGATTAATCACAGTATATACAAGAGGAGAAAAAAATTAGAGTTCATAATAAGAGAAAAAATTTGAAAAATTTTGAGTAAGGAATAAAATTGTTAAATGGGTAACAATATTCACGATACAAAACTTTAGTTTTATTTACATGATTTATAATTTTTTTCTCTAACATAGAGTTCTTATCTTTCTTTCTTTTTGTATGCAAGAGGAAGAGTTCTGCAGAACTACTTATGTCAAAACTGACATGATGGTATGATCATGAAACATTGTTGTCTACCTTTTATCTGATAAAGCCTGATGGTATCTAACCCCTAGGTTTAACAACCTTGTAGTACATAAGACAAAAAAATTTGAAAAGTCTCTGTTTGTGATAGTAGACAGATGTTTCTTAAGAGTATTCTAGTCATCCTTCATTCAGTGTCATGCCAGTCAACAGAAATAATTTGAATTGGTTGTACATATAGCAAGCTCTACCAGATCTAAGGGAGGAAACTCCATAATCTATCACTGCAGCAATGTATTGGTCCATTGCCATCTGAATCTTATTCAACTATTAGGCTAAACATTATTCTTTGTTCAGCAGTTCAGCCTAATTGATGGGATCATGTTATTCATTCAGATTTTTTTCTCCCCTCAAAGAAATAATCATTTGTTAGGCTATTCGGAATTTATGATTTCAAGAGCTGACTCTTGTGTAGTTGTAAAATTTCATTTATAAATTGGCATGTTTTTTTTTCTCGCTGTCTCTTTTTCCTCAGCAGCCACTTATGAAGATACACACCTCTGATGTATAACATAGCAGCATAAGAGTACGCCACTCCATATTCATTGGTAGCTACACATTCATACTTTCCATAATCCGACTCTAAAGCCTTGGCTATCCGTAAAGAGCCTGAAAAGAAAATGATTGTTCCATTGATAAAGAGGAAACACATTCCAAAATGTTAATGTTTCAATCAAGCTATGAAATACAATTTTCAACTGATACATAAATACCTGAATTCTCCCGTGGAAGGAAAATTTTCTGTAAAAACAGAAGGGGTGGGTGGTTTATAGTGCTATTTCTTCAAGAGGTCAGTATCAAAGATATTTTTGACAAGGTCTTCTTCAAAATGTAAAAGAACTATATATGGTAAGGGCGTATTCCTGCCCCCATAATAGTCAAATTTTGAAAATCTATTGAAATGAGCAAAAGTGCATATATTGTATAAAATAATCCAAATTAAGACAATATATTATGAAATTGGAAAAAATAGTTGGCTTTTCTTGTCTCTGTGACGTCACAAACTATTTGGATTTCCGTTATTTTTAAAAAAGAGGCCAAAATGCACAGAGTTTGTTCAATTTTGACTATAGTATTTATAGAGCGCAAGCTTGCTCAGGTACCATATTCACATATTTCATTGATATTATCATTCTACACATTGTATCAAAAGATCTAGTCTGAGCAGACCTGCGCTCGATAATTTCCAATCAAAATACCGACGTAAAATACACTATTTTCTCTCAAAATCATTGTAATTTGGAATTTACGTCATTTTATTGACGTCATATCTAACTAATGATGTCATAATTGATAAAAATATTTAATGCTTTGAAGTCTGCAAATATCCACCTGGTTTAGAACATAATTAAAGATTTCTCCATCAAAGTTTTATTTTGGGGGGCAGATACTGGCCACTACAGAATATAGAAAATGATTGTTCCATTGATAAAGAGGAAACGCATTCCAAAATGTTAATATTTCAATCAAGCTATGAAATACAATTTTCAACTGATACATAAATACTTGAATTCCCTGTGGAATGAAAATTTTCTGTAAAAACAGAAGGGGTGGGTGGGTGGGTGGTTTATAGTGCTATTTCTTCAAGAGGTCAGTATCAAAGATATTTTTTACAAGGTCTTCTTCAACATGTAAATTTTACAATATTTTTAATGTCAATGCTTTCCGTTTTCCCTTATTTAAACAATATCTGTACTTTACAATTTTTATTTAAGCTATTTTTCTGATCTCTAAAAGTTTCAAAGGTTTCACCTTGCCATCCAAAAATAGGTTGATATATATTTTTTAACTATGAAAAACAATACAGATATCACAACTGGTGCCTATCCTTTTAGGTTACTGACTCAGTTTGATTCTCCTGAAGTTAACAACCCACAGAATCACAGTGAGTCAATCCCCTCAAGACAGACATTATCCAGCAGGTAGACTATCTGTACAAATGCTTTGATATTTAAAAAAATTATCCGTTGGGGGAAAAGATGCATTCTTTTTTTATTATTAATAAAAAAAAAGATGTACAGAATTTGTTAAATGTGTGCCCTAAAAATAAATCGTATATGTGTGTGTGTGTGGGGGGGGGGGGTTAATTTCTTTCAGATTGAAAATACAAGAGGCACCTATAGGGTGCAAGAATTGCAATATGTGACCTCATCAACAAGTTATTTGACTCATTTACATAAAAATGTCAATGGTTCATTTGTGCTTTAGTTTTAATTCTTTCTTGTAATCTATATTCTACAAAGTACATGTAACACCATTAAGTTTTAAAAGGTGGCTATGTTGCAAAATAACTTATTTGGCTGTATCATTTAACCTGTTTTTGTGATTGTGAGCCGTTTGTTGTCACCCATATCTACAGGGATGCCATTTTTGAACCACTCGATGTCAAACTTGTGTCCATTAGCATCAGCTTGACACTGCATGATGGCAGGTTTCTCTTTCTCAACAGATTTTAGCTCTGGGTTAACAATAATTTTGGGATATCCTACTGGAAATTCTGTAAAAAAAAAAATAACGAAGATAAGTAATCTTTGACTTTCTTATTTCTTGATAAATAGTGCAATATCTCCTTCACTAAATAAGCTGATCCATTTCTGGTGTTAATATTTCAGTACGTGCGAAATTCCACATTCAACAGAAAAAGTACCTGTATCCCCTCAATCTATGACATTTGTTTGACAACTGATTGTTCAGTATCACTAAAAAAAGATCATTAGTGAATAGAAATCTATATATTGTGGTTTATATATACCAGTAAATACATTTTTAGTAAAACTTAGATGAACAGTTTTGCACTCTTCAATGATAAAACTCATGACAGTTTAAAAATCTTTCTGGAAAAGGTTTTCTTAACATGATAACAAAATGCCAAATTGTAGGAAAAAATATACACTGAAGTAAAGTTTTTTGATAGGGATGGTCCAGAAGAGAGACAGAGAGCAGGAATTATGGGTAGACTGGGTAAATGGGAGGATTATGGGAAGGAAAATATAGGCATCTCTACTTGTCAAACAACTGTGGAAAACTGCAGAAAGTATACAAAGTTTGCTTTGTATTGTGCAATTATACAATAGACCAGGTCTATTCAAAATTTGAAAATATTTGAAAAAAGCTGAAATAGCTGCCATTGCTCACTTGAGATTTTCTTATTTATGAAAATGCTGAAATATAAACTAACCAATGCATCAGCCTGTTGCAACAAATTTTAACTAGGAAAATATGACTTGTTTCTCTTTGAATCAGCTATTTAAAACTCAACAACAAAATTTTTGAATTATTAATTATAATGATAATAGAATTTTATTTCTATAATGCCTTAGCTTTCTGTTTCTTTTTTTTGTAGCTCATATATTCTCGGGTGAGCAAAATAATCCACAGTACCTGTGTTGAATCTGAGTTATCTCTCTTGGTTCACGACAGTTGTGAACCAACTTTTATTCAAGATGCAAATGAAAAACAGTTACAGATAAAGAAAATTGTTGTTTTTCTCCATCTTGGGGTTGAGAAATTTGGATCCATTAGAATAAAAAGACATCAATAGCTACCTTTAGAAGTTTTTTTCCATTTAAGATATTCACCTGAAATTTATAGCAATCTATTTTCTAAGGATGATAACATTAGTTTCAAAAGCATTATAAATTTACTTAAATGAAATAATAGTTTAAAAAAAAACCCACATATTTTATCCATATCCTCTAAATGATTTTCTAAAATAAATCACATGACATTTGTCCCAAAGGCAGCATATCATAATCTGTGATAAATATAGAACGTGGTGTATAAATTTTTATCAGAAAGACACTTTAAAGCAAAATTTGCGAAGCCCAAAAGTTCAGGATTACTAAACTGGAGATGGAATAAAAAACAAAATATTTCACAAAATATGCTTCTTTTGTAAGAAAGCTATAAGGTCATTTTTACTTTATCACAGAAAAAACCAGCTGCATTTTTATGACAATTAGACAATTAAACTTAGATTAGAGCTGATGACTAAGTCCTCTCATAACATTTTGTTGTTCTATTCTTCCTCAAAAGAAGTCATGACTAGAGCTTTGATTTCCATGGTAACTGAGACAAAATCAATACTTGGTGTATAGTGCAGCATAGGCAAGTTTGACAATGCAGGGAATAATTCTAATGACCATTTTCTTTGTCCGCCCAGTGACATACAGAAATCTGTCTTTCCTGCAGTGACAGTGAGGGCGTCATTTTGATACATTTTATTCAAACCTTTAACACTAGCCAATAATATCTAAGAGTACATGTCATAGAAAGTTACTGCTTTATCGCTATATTGAACATATTAAAGTGCGTACTTCTATTTTATTTTGCCAATTCTGGAACAGGTGAATCAAGTACATTGGCACTCCCCTTGTCAACATTTTCTGTCACTTGATAGCCTTTTAATTATCATAACAGTTCCAATGCATATTTAAAAAGCTCAGCTTCATTACTAATGTGTATGCTGCAGAAACTGAACACATATATACATGTATGCAGAGGGAAAACATATTAACTAATTGCTCCGTTAACGGAAGTAAAAATTTCTGAGTTAGTGAACTGCACATATTATTGTTGCTGAAAAAAAAATCATTTTAATTAAGAATCATTCATGTGTCAAAAACATCATTGGAGATAATCTCCTATAATTCCGTTTGTGATTCCTAATGAATGGAATCTGTCCCTCTATCCCTCAAGACTTCCAATCACAGGTTAACATAGAGAGTGTAAGATATATGGCACCTCTATATCACTCCTTTACATAATTATACAATTTTGTGTTACTTCACATAAGGATGAAAATGAGATGAATTTTAAAGTTGCTTTGTACATGGATGAAGATGTGAAATTTTGAGTTCCTTTGCACAAGGATGAAGCTGAAAAAAAAATTGAGTTCCTTTTTACAATGACGAATATGCAAAGTATGAGTTCCTTTAAACAAAGATTTGAGCTCCTTTGTTCCAGGAAAAAAACGCAGAATTCTGAGTTCCTTTGCATAGGGATGAATATGAAAAGTATTGAGTTCATTTGTTCAAGGATGAAAATAATAAATTTTGACTTGCTTTTTTCAAGGATGAAAATGCAGAGATCTGAGTTTCTTTGCATAATGATGGTGGTGCAAATTATGGTTCCTTTTAATGGAGATGCAGAAATTTTAAGTTTCATTGAACAATGATGAAGATGCAAATTATGAGTTCATTTGTACAAGGATGTTGATGAAAAACATGACATTCCATTGTACAAAGATGATGCAAAATCTTCTTAAGTTTCTTTGTACAATGATGAAGATGCAAAATTTTGAGTTTCCTTTAAGAATGAAGAAGATGACAAATTTTGAGTTTGTAAATGCAAATATTTTTTGAGTTACCTTATACAAGATCAAGATGGCACATGATCAAAATTATAGATGAGACATCCCATTCTGGATCAATGCAATTTATACATTATTTTTTAATAAACAGCTGATGACTTTTTGCATGTGTATTTTTTCTGTTGGTGTTTGATTAAATCAATTTAATGCACAAAAAGAACAACAAGAGAGATATCCCAAAGGGAGATAACTCCTAATCTTCATCAAAAAAAAATATTCTAGAATGAGAACTTGTCAAAAAAAAATTGATATTGGACATTATTTTGACATAAAATCATAGCAATTCATTCTCATGGAAAAAAATAATTATCAAGTCAATTCTCGATATTCTTGTCTTTAATTATTGGGCAATACTGTTCTGCTATGTGAAGATCTTTGACAAGACACAAGCTTCAGCAGGGTCAAAAGTTGATAAAAGAAAAATAATAATCCCTGCATTGCCCTGATCATCCAGGAACAAAGCTTCTCTCCTGAGATATAAAAAAGATCAGTTCTTAGTGCTGTGTGCTTCGGGTGAAATCAATCCACCTGAGAAAACATAAAATATGATGAAAGATATCGAGAATTTTTACCTTATCCATATTTCTCTGTAGTTATTAAACTCTAGCATTTGTAATGCTTCTTTTTTATGAATATTACATACTTATCATAAAAGATTTTTTTTTTTTAAATCTACAAAAGACAATGTGAATTGCAAGACAGTTTAACACTCATACTTCAGGCAAAAAGGAACAAGCTTGTGCTTCACAGACATTGAATTTCTAATGCGTTTTCCAATTCCATAAACCGTTCACGGTAGCTCAGTCGGTAGAGCGCTCGCTCCGTGATCGGGAGGTCGTGAGTTCGAATCTCGGCCGCGACAGACCTAAGTCGATAAAAAATAGGTAGCAACTGTTCCTTCGCCATGCGCTCGGCACTTTGAAGTGAAAGTTGCGGGTCCTTCGGATGAGACCTTAAAAACCGAGGCCCCGTGTCACGGCAGGCGTTGGCACGATAAAGATCCCTCACTGCTCAATGGCCCTGAGTGCCGAGTAAAGGTCAAAATTTGAAGCCCTTCACCGGTATATGGTGACGTCTCTATATGAGTGAAAAATTCTCGAATGGGACGTAAAACAATATACAATCAATCAATCAATCCAATTCCATAATGGGTATTAAAATTTAAAAGGCTAAACACAGCATCGAAATATCAGCTCAGGTCAACGGAAATTAATCTCTGCAAATTATGGCATGATGAAGCCAAGCTTATAGAGGCATTGGGGGGGGATAAACCAATGTCATTTTTTTTTTCATAAATGTTCAACCTTGAACTTCAGACATTGAACAGTTATGTTGAAACTTGCAACAATTTTCTCCAAAACCTACTCTTTCTCAAAATAAAATTCTTATACAAAGTCTAGTTAGCAGGAGATGCAGAGTATAGTGACCAAGCAACATCACAACGTACAAACTGCACGCGATTTTTAGTAACCGCTCACTCGCTTACTTGTTCGATCGAGTACCCGGTTGCTCTGATGGTTTTCTCTTAGGATCTCTAAACATCCTTGCTCGTGGTATATATTCAATAATAACTACAACGTCGTTCAGTTTCCATAATTACAAAAGCTTCTAAATAAATTTATTTTCGAATATCTTAACAATTAAATTGGCTGTTTTTGCAGGGTCTAATTTATATACATGTATTTACATATGGTTTCAGAATGTGTATGTCAATTCCATTTCACATATCAATTTTACACCTAACGTATTTAAATTATAAAAAAAAAATATTTCGGAACATATGCTTTTAATGGTTGTGGCGGCATCTTGTTTAATCCTGGACTAATACAATTTAATAAGGTATAATTTTAATAACCCAGGTCTTCGAAATTTGTATACCCCTTGGCAATCAAGGCTATTAATTGATGAACTGTGAAAACTGAGTGTAATCAAAACAAATATATCGTATTTGTAGAACTCTAGATGAAATCTAACTGTGAATAACGGCAACGTGTAAATAATATTTCATTTAGGAATAATATATATTTTTGTTCTGCTTTTGTCTAATGTATCCGAGTAACCGAATAGTAGTTTTACTGACCGATATTCGCATCATTCGACGATTAACCGGTTAACCGGGTACTCGTTGACAACATTACTTCTTACCATTCCCTTCTCTGTCAATGCGGTAAACCTTCAGATGGCCAGTACTTCTGGCTGGATCCCCCACACCATTCTCAGCCACACAGGTAAAGGTACTATCACTGTCTCTATTCCGCACGGTCTCAATTCTCAAAACGCTACCATACGGCAGGTCAAATACTTTGAATCTGTTCCTAATTGTATTCAATTTTTTCTCATCTTTTTCCCAATAAAATGTAGGCTGTGGATTTCCAGATGCTTTACAGACAAAACTGGCTACAAGTTCCTCAGCAACAGTCAGATTCCGAACTTCATGGGTAATCTGTGGTGCAACTACAAATACAAATTATAGGTAAGTTTTGATCTCTAGATGGAGCTAAACTTGGTGGATACACTGCATACGTACATGTTAAGACATATATTCATGTTAAAAAACGGACACATCTAATAAATCTCAAGGCATCTGCATACATCTTCAAGAGTTTTGAAAAAAATAGCTGCTATTATATATAAATGTAAAGTTTTCATAAGCTGCCTTTGAATTTCAAATGATGATGAAGCTGAGGTACTCTATACATCAACAGAGTCCATCAGTTAGTGACATTTATGACTTTACACAAAATGTTTTATCTTCTGAAAATTCTGTTTTTACATAAAATCTCCCCTATCCCTTCTTTTTAACGTTATACAGATTATACATATTTTTGTCTTTTTACAAGTATATTTAGTGTAAGAAAATGCCTTTAACTGCCAACAAGCATGCCTTTAACTGCCAACAAGCATGTTCCTTATAGGTATACAATACATTATCATACTTTTATATTGTTCTTTATCCAGCAGACAACACTCATTCTTAATATTCATGATGCCTTTCACTACATTTACAAAATACAATATCTCATTACATAATACAAAAATGTAATTTAACTTTCTTTACATATGTCATAATTTCAAGAAAAAGAATGATTGCACGTAGAGCATGTTCTTTCGTATCGAATGAGCTGGGAAATTAACCCCATATACAAGTGATAAGGGTATATTGCTACATAATTAAGGAAAGTTGACGATAGAAAAGTTGGAGTTCTCTCGTTTACCACAGTTTTATTGTAAGGTTACTATAAATGTCTTTTTCAAGTAAAATCTCCAAATATGAAACAGATGTGTCATCTGTGGTGTCTTTTATTTCAAGTTCACCGGGATATATCGAATCGACATATGATTGGAAGTAACTACTGTTAATTGATAATACGTCGTCGATATAGTTGAAGGCCATAGCAAGCGATTTCTTCCTTTCATGTGAGAGTTTTTGAAAAAAAAATTCTGCTTCATATGAATACAAAAATAGGTCTGCTAATTACGGGGTGGAATTGATACCCAGATGGTACAGCTAAACGGATCTATCCATTACTCAATTTCTGTATATCCTGGTCAACCAACCAAAATTATATTGCAGATCTCTGAACAGATTAGATTTTTTAAAATGATCTGAGCTCCCTATCTTTTCTGACAAGAGGAAAAGCCAAAATAAACATTTCTAGTCGAAAAAAGTTGGAAAGAAGAAAAGGATGCTTCTGAGTGTTGGTCAATACCTATACCAAGCCAGTTTGATTGGCTAATCTCTACAGAATGATAATCAGATGCATGTCACAAAAATGCGTCACAAATTATATCACAATAGCCAAATCTTGTCCTCGATGAGGCACATTATGATGAAAAAACTCTATAAATTTAATATGTAGCTGTAGCAATATTTTGGTATTCAATACGGCATGCAGTTTTAGTGCTAAGTCACATGGATCCAGTCTACAGGGATTTAATCGCCTATCTGCAAGACCTAACTTCATGCAAATTAGTCATAGTACGGGCTACCAGCAAGTAAACATTACAAGATGTTTAACAGTTGCAAATGTACATTTTCTGCTTGGCTAAAAAGAAAAAGATATCCATACCTTTTGTAGGATTATTTTTTCCAGAAAAATGATAAATTTTGATCATGCTCTAGAGCCCATACATCATAAATTAGTTTAACAAATATTGATTATTTATTTTACTTCTCTACAGTGTACTTACTGCATGATGAATGCATGCTATCACCATGATAATTGTGTTTTGAAACAATGCAGAGAAATATATTTTTTATCAACATGCCATAGCATTTGTTTTGGTACAGCTCCGTCTGTGGAACAGACACATTGTGTGCTTTCTTGTAAAAGTACTGTACTTAGAAATCAACCAATGGATAAGCCTCAACAGAGTCACATGACAACTTACTTTCTTCATTGGTGATGACTGTTATAAGCTGTGACACTGGACCTTCCCCTTTACTGGAGTAAGCTAGGACACAAATTGTGTATGTGTCATTTGGCTTCAAACCCGTTATAATAGTTTCATTGGTGTTTGACTGGACTTCTTTGTTGTTCCACAGAATTATGGGTAAATCTGCTTGCAGAGTGTGGAACACTCGGTATCCCTAAGAAAAAGGGAACAGAGTTAAGAATATTTCTGCATAGAATTTTGAAATTGTTATAAATTATTCAAAAATGACTAGAGTATAATTGTGGCACAGATTATTTTTCTTTTATTCATTTATTTATTTATTGGTTGGCGACAACCTGTATGACACTATTTGGTTTTTCTGGAGGTAGCCATGACACACTGACTGTGTTGGAGTTCAGAGCCTTGGCGGTAACATATCTGGGAGGTGTTCCAGGTGCTGCAAGATAAAAAAAATATCCAGATTCATAAAACAAGATTAACTTCACTTAAGAAGCACATCAGTATTCTCAGTCTTGGACAAACGTAATTGCCTAACTTTGCATCTTATAATTGATTAATCAAAATGCCTTTGCAAAGTTTTGCTTCTGTGAAAAATAATACTTGGAAGCAAGATCAGCTTAATTAATCATATTCAATTAGAAATGTTCATGCCTCCAAGGACAGAAGAAATACACAATTCGAAAAATCCATGCAAAACCATCAGTGAAAATACAAGTATTTCAAAATATACATATTAAAATAAGAAGTGACTAGAAAACTTGACTTTCAATATTTCTTATTTCAACTTAATGTCAACTACTTGAATACTAAAGGGCAATTTTAGAAACTGGGTGACCCAGGAACATATTTTCACCAAAGGCCAGTTTCTGTGTGTACAGATAAAAGAGATGTGGTAAAAAGATTAAATACAATTTGACTCCCAGTAAAGCTAACCAAACTCTCCCCATCATGTCCGACTACCTCTATCTTGCCAGAAGCAAACTAATATCGGTAAAACGGTATATATATTCAGACTGACAGCTTATAAATACAGGCTGGCCAATAAAGTATCAAATTCTAATCAATTCAAAACAGGCTAATGAAATTCAAAGTAAGGGAATGATAAGTGAATTTGTTGGAGACATAATTCCTTGATCACATCACCATATGTACCTCCTTAGTATCTATGAATTAGGACATCTGGATTCTGGACATTTATTTCAGAAACACTGTATATTAAGGTATGTCACTTCAGCTTTTGAGAAAAGTTTGGTCAGAACCTTTAACTTAAAAATTATTTGATTTATAGGATACTTGAATTAAACAATTTTAAATTATACAACATTCCATTTAAAAACTGCTAACAAAACTGTAAAGAAAAAAAAAAGAGATTTATGGCTGACTATTTCTTGTGGTGGAAAGATGTTTAGACGAAAATTCTTCAAATCTATACATTTTGTTTCATTTAATATCTTGGATCTTTAGCCCTACATATATTTACTCAGAGATTTTTTTTCGTTATTATATGCTAGGAATATTAAATATAGGTTCAAATTAGTAATTTTAGAACAAATTTTACACATTCACTGAACAGACTTTGCCCAAAAAAAGAAATTTTGAAGAATTCGAGAAAGAAATACATTGTTTTTTGCCTGAAAATCGCGTATGTTGATCAATATTTTCAAATTTACACCATTGACTCCAACTTTTTTTTTTTCAATATTTTAAACTACATGATACTCTAACGGATCAGCACTTAAGTCATAAAAAGCTTGATAAAAGAAAATGTTTTATTGGCGGCTTTCATTTTTAAGACCCCAAATATGATATTTTTGTATTATTTTTTTTTTATATTAAACATATTTAATTGAAACATAATCAATAGAATTGGACACAACTTAACCACTTAGATTTTCCTCTCCAACACAATGACATATACATATACACTTGAAGTACAACCAACAAATGTAGAATACAAAAATGTTCAGGGAAATAAGAAAGGAAGGAAGCGTGCAAGGAAAGGATGTAAGGTGGTTGTAATAGATGCATAATGGTTAAGCTGTTTATTCATAAAATCTTTTCGAGTTTTTTATATATATATATTTGTGTTCGTCTTTAACAATGTTGATATATTATCTTGTTGACCCAAGTTTGGGTCCCCAAATAGAATTGTTTCGAGGTCTATTGCTCCTTGATATTTTTTATGGTGTGAAATAATTATGTTCTTATTTCAGCATGGTTTTTATAATACAGGAAGAAGTATTCATTGGTATATCCAAAAGAACACCAAGTGTTATCGGAAACCCTATCTTTAAATAGATATGACTTAAGGAGACTTACATTGTGTTACATTGATATTTTTCAAGGCAAAAAGGTCATACAATAATAAACGTGCATTGCAGGATTTTTTCAATAATACTAAGTAAATATTATTCAAACAATTTTACATAAAATGAGATTATATTTTTTGCCATGACTACCTCTGGTGAAATATGATAACGGTTTAAGTGATTAAACTAAAAGTTACAATTTAAACCCTCTATACACCAGAGGAAAATATTTTTGGGACACTGAGAAAATTATAGTGTGTTAAGGTTTAAATATTGGGCTTATCTATCACATTTTCAAGATAGGGCACCTTGCATTTACCCCCAGGAAAATGTTCAAAGACACTGAAGTACTGATGAACAGAAATCATTGTTGTTTACGTAAGTCAGCAAAATACCTGCAAATGAAGTGTTCAATCTATTCATCTTGGCCTATTAAAATGTTATAAATGCTTGATTTGATCAGAAATTAAGTAATAAACTGTACATTTCAATTTATTTTATTCTTAATCAAAGGGCAGATAACTCTATCTGCATAAAAATACCAGAAAATCAGAACTCTTTAGTGTGCAGTGTATAGAGGGCTCTTAAGTGCAAAAAAGGTTAAATTAACTTTACCCTTGCTCAGTATGATGCACACTGACCCTAAATGTTCTTTGCGATTTTGAGTCATGCTATACGAGTAGATACCTAAAATATTTATCTCAAAAGTCCTTGATATAACTCATGTCAGGAGGATTGCATACCTTAACAATTATTAAAAGTTAAAACATGTATGATTTTGCCATGTGAAAAATAGTATCAAACTATCATAAATCAATGCAGATCCATAGTTTAAACTCTAAAATTCTAGGAATTACTTTTTATACTACAGGACTAGCAAAATTACTTGTATGTTTATACTGCCTTCACATCGGTTTACAGAGGTGATATCTAGCTCAATTTTAGACTATTTAGTAATTCAGAAAGCTGCCAATATTCTAAAATACTGAAAACTATCTGAGCTTATTTTAATCATAATGTTGAAAAATACCTTATAAACAGAAAGACAACAAGCAGCTGGATATGGCACATTTTCATACATGACATTCTCTCTGCTTGGCAATTGATAAAACTTACTTGTGAAATCTTTTGGGTACAAATATTTTGGATTGGAACATGAATTTTTTTATATTTTAAAATGTTTACAAATACATGAGTTCTGTTGGTAATTAAATTCATATTGTCATAATTTAATTCTGGTTGTAACGCGCCATTTGATTGGATAAAATTTTTACGGTATATCGAATAAACTGTGTTGCCTACGTCTAAATGACTTGTATCAAAAACGTTTCGATCCGTTACATTTAAATTTTGTACAATTTGAAGTCATTTAAAAGCAATCGTCTTCTTTTCTTACACTGAAATGAATGAAAATTATAAGGAGTGAATAGAATAGCTACCCAATTAATACGGTATAAACTGGGTTGGAACAGTTCACGCTTTTTTATAAACCGCTTCGCAGTTTATAAAGCGTAAACTGCCCCAACCCTGTTCATACCATATAAATTGGATACACTTTTTGAGTTGTTTATGATATGATCATAAACATTGACCCCAGTTATTTTTTTCCTTCAAGAAATTCATGCACTATATATCAAACACAGAAAGTAAAGTTTAAGGGTATCCCATGAAGTAGGTAGTGTGTTGTTATCACTGGTTTGGCATATAATAAAGATCTGATGAAGATGAATTTCAGACTTGACAGATGAAGAGTGTCATTTCTTCCTACTTCGCCACAGGGAACTCCCACTGTGTAACTTTAGTAAGGGTGACCGATTTCATGAATTCTTTGAGTGTGGTTCATATCCGTGAAATCCTACAGGGCACGCCCACTGTGAATCTGGGAAGGGTGACCAAGTTCTTGAGTGATGTCTTGACCTCATAACTGCCATGACCCTTTATCTCCTGGTCCTGTACTCTAACCCAAAAATTTGGAAAAGACGTATGCATCTCCAGCAGAACCTAACCAGCCCTTTCATTTAGACTTACCTGGCATACTATAGAAATGGAGTCATATTTCCCCGGAAACTTTTTTTTGACAGACAAAAATATTACATTCCTTTCCTTTCATTAATCTAAATTTAAAAACACAATCAACAGTTGATAACTATAGTGCCTTCTTTTTTCCCCTCTTTTATCTTGTTAGGTAGAACATAAAGAGTGGGAGATGCCAAATATTTCATCAGCATAATTTTGTAAAACTTTGAAACTGAGAATCTGCATCTGTGAATTTCTGTAAGATTTTGTTTTTAAAATTTTCCTCCAAAACACCAGTACAATAACTTTGAAATCCTATGGACACTAAATACCTTATGACATGTAGGTTAATAACTGACTCTTAGAATCCTAGCCATGTTCTAACCTCTATAACAACATGTATACACAGAGTGCACTGGGCCAAGTTTTATCCTGACAATTGTATACTTATTTTGGGTCAAATTTCAAGTGTTTGGTTAGCAACAATTGACAACAGAATACTGAAATAGCATCTCTTGCATAATTTAAAATAATATAGCTTCTTCCCAAAGCTTAAAATACACAAAAACTTTGAAATATCTTCCAAAGATAATGGATTAGCAATTTTCCGTTATAATAGAAGTTTGTAATTTTGAGACCAACCTAGCTCTCCAGTTCGAACTTCAATTGTATCACTGCCCTGACCACGGCCATAATTATTTACACCTACAACACGAAACTGATAAACCGTGTAGGGCTCTAGACGTCGGACAGTGAATTCCGACATTTTGAGAGGACGAGTTTCAATCCACTGAAAACTATCGTCGTCCTTGGGTTTGTACTGGATCACGGCTTCGTTACTTCCGGCATTCCAAGTCAGTCTTACAGAATGGGGAGTCACTTCCCAGTGAGTTAATCCTGTAGGTTTCTCCGGTACACTCTGACCAGAAATTCCTTTTAGTAAGACCCATATAAAACCACATCTCGCAATACAATCCCTGTAGTAAAAGCTCCTAGAAATTAGTTTCATATTGTTTGACAAGCTTTCATCAGGTTTCAAAAAAATCCCAATCTCTCTCAGAACAAGAGAATAAATCATCACATTATCTGATTATGTTGCTGCAGTGGGGTAAACCGATTCTCTGACACTAAAGCTGTAGAATAATTGATGAAACTTATCTTTGATTCCCCTCCCTAATCAAATTGTGTGTCAAAGAGAAAACAATCCTCTGTATTGTTTTGCTTCCTTTTGACTTCTTCACTTGCAACACAGGATCTGACAACTGAGAGGTCATGTGACTCTCTTCAATCACTTGATTGGTTAATCATTATTTGTGTGAAAAGGGGGGAGGGACTTCTCATCATCCTGGTAATCTGGTTGTCATAGCAACTCAGCATGTAACACTCTATGTCATGGTGTGTCAGTTAAGAAATATAGTGCATTGAAAGCAGTCTAACATCTTTTGATAGGTGCTTAACTTGAGAATGGGTTGTTTTTTTTCAGAATTATCTGACAGCAGGGGATAAAAAAACATTCAATAACATAATCAGAAAATCTTCTGATCTTAGCCTTTTATATTTTGACATGTGCGGGGGAGAGTCAGAGGGGAGGCCATATTGAAAGGCGGGAATGCAGCGACACCAGTTGGTGTCGCTACTCTGCCATCTTTTACAACTTTATTCCGCGGATCTAACTTCCGAGAAGAGGGAAATCAGTAATGGAATGATTCTTCTACTACATAGTTAATCATCACTAATATGATTCTATCGCCGCTTTCTTTGCGCAAAGATGTCAAATGGCGAGGAGGCGCCCTAATTCAAGTGATGCTTCATTTGTCGGTGATAGGGAAGTTTAAACGGCGATAAAGTCGTCGCTGGTGTCCCTAAATTCTCATTTTTCAATATGGCCTCCGCTCTTACTCTCCCCCGCACATGTCAAATCATAAAAGCGGGGTTAAAGGAATCTTGGATTATCAATAACATACATATATGTGATAAGTTAAAGATTAGAGCAAATATGAAGCGAATAAAATTTTGTTCTCTCCCAAACTTTCGCCAGGGTTTGTTTTGTACCAAACCAAACTCTTCTAGTTAGGTATTATGAGATAGAGATTTCCCAGGAAATCAAAGCCGCGCGGTTGCGTGCACTGACTGATTTTGAAATTAGAACTAGATAGTGGCATTGTTGGTTTTCTATTTATATGTACAAAAATATGATAAGAAAAAACACGAACTTTTTTTTTTGAATGATTATATTTACTGTTCGAATTTCCTCTGATATGTAAATGGTCAAATGGTAAACTAAAGAAACCAATATTGTTTTGTTCTGGATTTCTACACAATCTGAGGAGTTCAGTAGAATTATCCGATATATACCAGAGATGATATACATTTTATAAAATAAAGTATTAAAATTCATGTAAAATCTCAAATGCATTATTTTTACATCATTGAGTGAAGGTCTTCAATATACAGCAAGGGTCAAGGTTTACAAGCAAGTACTTCACAGTAGGTACAACAACATAAAATTTCACGCACATCACAACATTTGCATTTTTTGTTGTGGCTACCTCTGCTGTAATCTAAATGCTGTAACAATTGCAAACGCGAACAAGTGTCTACTAATGCAGTAATGGCGCATCGAGTTTTGCATGCCAGGTCTGTTGGTACTGACATCTTTTTATTAAAATACAAAATTGCGTCAGCAGGTAACCCATCTGGCCCTGCGCGACCAGTTTCTTGTAGGTATTTCTCAATGCTGGTTGGGCATTTAAAATGAATAACTTTAAGAACAGAAGGTGCATGCAAACCAATGCCAAGAGCTACAGTGGCAAGTACTACTCTAATAACTGACTCAGATTTGCCGAGTTCGGATATAATTAATTTTTTCATTTTCTCTGGATAATGGGTATGATACTTTCACCTGTTCTCGGGAAACTCAACTCCTTACTTGCCCTCCATATCCTATATCCATACCTAATTGATTACAAGTCGGTCTAAATGTAGGTCAGAGGGTAATGTCAACTGTCCTTTTGTAGACCCGTAACAATTTCTCCTAGAACTTTGTCAAGGTCGTCTTCTTGTCGCATGCTGGGTTGACATTCATATTTGTGATACTTAATATTTGGTCTGTCTGGATTTAAAAAAACCCAACTAGGATCCCTTAAAACAAGGTCTTTTTCGGGCACGGTAGCCTAGTGGTAGGGCGCTCGCTTCGTCATCGGGAGGCCCGGGTTCGATTCTCGTTCATCGGGCCGCGTCAAACGTGCGACGTAAACATAGATAGTGACTGTTCCTTCGCCAAGCGCCCGGCATTAGAAGTGAAAGTCACGGGTTTTTCGGATGAAACCTTAAAAACCGAGGTCCCGTGTCACGGTAGGCGTTGGCACGATAAAGAACCCTCACTGCTCAATGGCCCTGAGTGCCGAGTATAGGTCTAAATTTGAAACCCTTCATCGGCATACGGTGACGTCTCTTTATGAGTGAAAAATTCTCGAATGGAACGTTAAACAACATACAATCAATCAATCAATCTTTCTCTTTTCAAGAACCACTATGCCAGAAAAGTTTAAACTTATGTGAAACCTTCACAACATCGTGTAGATACAAGTTTGTTCAAATCATGACCCCCGGGGGTATGGTGGGAACACACTGGGTGATCAATATTTTACATAAGAATGTAGGGAAAAAAATCTTCAAAATTTTTTTTTCAAAACCAACAAGACTATTGTCTTGATATGAATATGATATTGATATGAAAGCATCTTCGTGTAAATAGATTCAAGTTTGTTCAAACCATGACACATGGGGCGAGGATAAGGCTAAAACAGGGGAGCAAATTTTTACTTAGGAATATGTAGGAGAAAAAACTGCTGATAAGGAACAGCAGGGTCATATGGACTGGTGAGCCTTTTGGCTTATGGACCTCTTGTTTTCTTAATATATATTTTGTATCATTGCTGCGGTGTTCACTGTGTTTTTATTTTCAATACACCATGACTAACTTTGCTCTAACAACCATGCTCTATCAAGATAGAACACGTCAGGGTTATGATGCAACAATTCCAATGACCCTTGACCTTACATTGATAAAGAAAAAGAATATAAACAAAGTAGCTGACTTTATAAGCAAAATACAAAAACATATAAACATAGTGAAGGTATATCCTTCCTTAGGTCTACATAAAAGAATCTAAATTTTGAACGTCAATTTTTCAATCCAAAATGGAATTCACACAAGCACATTTTTAAATGAATGTTTTCGTCTCTTATAAACTTGAAGCGTAACAAGTGCATTGTAATATATAGAGTACCTTTTAACGTGCGTATCTTCAGATATCAGACGAGGGGGCTTGTCTCCCGAGTCTGATATCTGAAGATGCATGAGTTAAAAGATACTATATGTTTTGTATCATTGTTCTCAGGTATTGAGTTACCCATGATCTATCAATTTCACGTTAAAAGCACGTGATTCAACTATATTCTCATGCACTGAGTTAGCCATGATCTATCAAAATTTCACAATGCCATTTTTATGACCATTGAAAAAAGAGCATGTGGTACAACGGGCTGTATTTCTTGAACTATCTACCTCGTCGATTCAATTCTGAACGCCATGGATGACGGTAGTGATTTTATACTTTCGCAATTCTTAGACACGGAAACCGAATTATGAAGGAAAATTCTTTAGATCAGTTTGGAAACCATATACAGGTTGAAGATTCTTTGGGAACTGTGACGTTTGATCTACCGGAACTAAAAATTGAACCAATTATGGGTTTTGATATACTGATATAGGAGATATTTTAGACATGATGGAGACTGAGTTGAGTGCGTTAATTTCACCAGTCCCGAGGTCGAGACAAAGACGAAAAATGAACGGTTTGTACAAGTGTCCGATCATGAACTTCAGCGTTTGATATACTCTTAAAAACGTAACATTTATAAAGGTATTAGAATTTTTTTTAAAAGACCAACCTATCAACCTTGAAAAATATTGGTCGGAGTATGGTCGGAGTACATCAAACAAAAAAAAATAATGATGACCTTTGAATCCAAAATAGACACTGCACTCTTTCCTAGGTCATGCTGCATTTTTCCCATTTGTATGTCATGCCATATTTACAAGTCATATCAAGAAAGCATGCAGGTACCCCGTTATCACATAGCTTTTTAACCTGATCTTTCATTATGGCGATATTACAGTTTCAATGGCAGAAGGATCTTCCACTTAAAGGACATTAACCGGAATATTTTACTTTTTCCAAATCCAGTGGGAAGAAGACACACTACTGGTACGTATCTTTTTTCCATAGACATGGATAGCTTCATTCTGTTCTTCCTTTATCTCAAAATCAAATCCAAAAATTTTTTTCGCTTGCTGCAGGTTGTCATCCATGAGCGAAATGAAAGTGGAAGTGCAATCTTTTTGAAAATGAAAGTTCATTTTATTTATACTGTAGTTGGAGCAGAGTTTTCCTAATTTTAAGTGATTTTTTAAAATAATTTTAGCATTTATCATTTTTTAAAATAAATTCATACTTTTATCAATACTTTTAATTTCAATATTTTCAAACTTTAACTAAGATCTACTTCTTTATTGTTATTTGCTATTATTTGTTATTATTATTTTGTGTACTGCGTCATCCGGGAGAGGTCTCTAGATTGGGCCTCGACGGGGAGTTTGATTTATAGCGTCAAGTTTCCCGCCTTTGATTTGGGTAAACTTAGTCAATCGAGGATACCGCGTTATCTCTGACTGGTTGTTGGTATGATGGTTCAAAACAAAGACAAAAGAAAACCAACAACAAAATAACAAGAGAGAGAGAGAGAGAGAGAGAGAGAGAGAGAGAGAGAGAGAACAAATGTTACGATACCTACGCTAATGTTAGGCATGAAATTCATTTTAATTTCTTGTTAAATTGGAATGCCACATCAATATCTTATTTATTGGATGTTTAAGGCATCTCTTTTGAAATACGGTTTCAGCATAGAAAGATTTAATTATTTTATAGGAATTTTTTGTCATTTTTCGACGAAAAAAAAAGTAAATGAAAATGAAATAAGAATTTAAAAAAGGCCTGTTCTGCCAGGCGTTATCTGCTCTCATTCTTAGCACATGTCCTATCC